TGCTGCCCCCGTGACCCGGCCTCGGATAAAGCGGATGAAGATGGATGGATGGATGGATGTAAAAAGTGGTCTTAAGTAATATTTCCCTGAGCTTTCAGATGGTCTTTCAAAGTTTTTTTTGGCTCCTAATTTTCATTCCAGTTCTTGTGCCTGATGATTTAAAGACGTTTTCTTTGTTGTTGTTAGTTAAACCATTAAACACTAACCTATCGATCATTAAAGCATAAAACAGGAATTTAATGTAAGAGAGGAACCAGTGTTGTCTACACACGAGGGACAACGTTAAAATAATATCGTTTATTCCCATTTCTTTAGGTGAATCTCCATAAAAATTAATTAATTAAAGTGAAGTCCATGAGAATTGGGGTGATCACGGTCCTGCTGCTGTTGAACTATAAGGTATGGTCTCGTTTGGAGGGGGGCCGTCAAGAGGTCATTCTTAGCGAAGGGAAACGGGGAGAATAGGCTGAGGTTTGCCTTACACTATAACTAATCAGTCAAATTTGAAATGTTTGTTTTGAATTGTCATCGATATGTGTGAGCGAGGACAAGGGAAGGTGAAGTTCTACAGTCGTGTATTAAAATATGGTGGAGCCTCTTTCATAGTTTGACCCAGTTATAAACAGAAAAGCCAGATTTTGATCCAGCATGTGAAACCATCTGGAAATCACCTTATTGGCAATGATGATGATTCCAATGCAATAAAAGAATAGCTGGAAACACAAAGACAGTGGAGCACTCTGAGGGAGCCAGCGTCCCTGAAGAAGTGTGGATCACAGAGAGAGAGCAAAATGTAGCCAACTTACAAAGAAGCACTTTGGAGTGATACTCAAGAGATGCGGAGCGTTGTCCTGAAGGCTGCTTAAAGACAGCTGCCTGAGAGAGTTCAGGTTGTGCTGAAGAATAAAGGTGCTCATAGCAAATGCTGACTAACAACAGAGGTCGATCATCTTCTTAATAATTTCACCTCCTCACTACGTACGACTCTGGATACTGTAGCTCCTGTGAAAACTAAGGTCTCTAATCAGAAGTACCTGACTCCG